ATATATTTTAGTATTTCTTTCTTTTTCCCCCTTTGCACGATTAAATGAATGCAAGTGTTTGAATATTTCAGAGATAGATTAAAATAATCGTTCGTATCTATTTTTCCATGATCCTTCCCGTTATTGTTATCGTTTGCTTTTCTTTTTTATTTTTTTTTGTTAGACAAAATAGAAAAACTCGAAGAGGATTGATTTGAAATAAAAATATTCGAAAGAGAGAGAGAGAGAGTGAGTGAGTGAGAGATTGATATCGATGAAAAGGATATTAGACTTTCACGAGCGACATGATGAGAGAACACACACAGACACATACATACACACACGTGCGAAAGCGTATTGGACAAGGCTTTCACGAAATCGATTCGTGTTGGCAGGAATAATTAACGGGGAATTGAAAGACGGAACAGTAAAGGACATAGGAAATATATACGCACGCGACACGCGACACGCACACACGCACGCACACACATGCACAGAAAGAGTGAGAGAGGTAGAGAGAGAGAGAGAGAGAGAGAGAGAGAGAGAGAAAGAGAGAGAATGGAACACATAGAAGGCCTATCGAGGTTGCATTACGCGTTTGTTGGCAACATCATGCGTGTGCCTGCGCGTTGCCGGGGTTGCCAGAGGATTAGCTATATCCATTCCGGGGTCTCGGACGACCCCGATCAATAATTCATTTCCCAGATGTCACGCCCCCGTTTGGCCTCGCAAACATATACCAATATATAACATATCCGTCTACCTGTACATACATATATATATATATATATATATATATGCACCTGTACATAAAGTTATACTAATAAACATACACATATCGTGTACGTGTGCATGTATGAACGTCTAGAAATTGAAATAATATTAGTGAACACACATACACACACACTGTATACATAAAAATTACGGAACTTATACGTTCCATTCTCAAATGCTAGTGGGACTCATGGAATTGTCTTCTCCGTTCATGATCGATTAGACACATCTATCTAAAGATATTCTAACAAGATAAGGAACAAACCGTTCAAAGTAAGAAGAATGAAATTGTATGAGCCATTCTCGTGTCTCCTTTAAAAATGATCTCGAGAGACGTTCAACGTTTTTCTGAATTAAATAAGTACGCCGAGGAAAATGTTTTCTTCTTATTATTAATGCTTCCTTATTTTCTTCTTCTTTTTCTTCTTCTTCCCTCGAGTAGATTCCTTGTAAAACGTTTCCAAGGGAGATTACAATAATAGACGAGTCTGTTCTCGTCGTCGTTCTCTCGAGATGTAAGAAGAATCGAATACGATCCTGTCATTCGTGTATGTATGTTATGTGTATTTTGTAAAATAAATCACGAGTAGACAGTAGGATGATTAAATAGAACGAATGACGATGGACAAAGTGAAAGAGAAAGAGAAAGGAAAATAAAAGATAATTGTGAATGATTATGAGATCATTTTATTCTACTCGTCTGTATTATCCGAAAAAAAAAAAAAATAAAAAATGATTGATATGAGAGAACGATTAGATAATGATAATGACGATGAGGATGCATCGTCGAATAAAATGAAACGGCCAAGATCAAACAAAAATAACGCAAGTAAGTAAAGTAAGATAATTAAGAAAGAAGCGTGGGATGGTTGGTTGGTTGAAAATAAACTAACGGTGGTCCAGGACGATCCTTCTAAATTTGTCCGCATTCTGAAAATCTGCATTGGATGATTGTTGTTGATGATGAGAAAAATAGAAAGATAGAAAGAGAAAGAGAAAGATATTAACGTAGTTATTGTCATGATCGATGGTGAGTCCTGTGGAATGAAAGATCGATTCCTTTAGCGTGTTTATTCACTTTTTGTGAACAATCCTCTTTGATCATCTTGATTTCTGAAGAACAACACCAATTGACAACCAGTTTTCTCTCTTTCGTTCTCCCCAGGGGCTTCTTCGTGACCACCGCAAAAATAAATAGTTACCACAGATGAATAGAAAAGAATAATATGACCAATACAAAAGTCAGGTTTAGCAAGCTTCTGAAGAGGAATAGTTTGATGATAAGTTGTGCACCACCGAGAGAGTGAAAGAGAGACAACCGGGTGGTAATAGTCAACTGGTATACCAATGAGAGTTGCTAACGCCCCTAGAAAACTGAGATACCACCAGCTGTGTTCACTCGCTTCATTATCTACCGAGTGAACGCAGAGTGGCTCCCTGTTCTCCGAGAGCAGCTTTCACCGCCGCTGACGACGCCTCCTTCATTTCCTTCTTTCATTTTGCTATATCATCGCTATTTTACCGACCGTGCATCTTCTTTCGCCAACGTTTCGATCATCATCATCATCATCATCATCATCATCATCATCATCATCATCATCATCATCATCATCATCATCCTTCATTTTCTTTTTTGAAACACACATTTGTAAATAATTTCTCATTTGCCTTTTCATTTTCCTCCTTCATCGATTATTTTTATACATTTTTGGATCCCTTTTTAATTTCTTTGTTTTTTTTATAAGTGGGAGAGGAAAAGTTGTTGCAGAAAATGTAGATAGAGAAAGATAAGTAAGTACATAAATAAATATGTACATACTTCTTTTAAACTTTCCCTCAGAGTTTAAATTTGTTGAGCTCCCGCGACAATTTTAAATTCCAAATTGAGAACTTAGTTATCGACCGAGCTGCCGGTATTTATTCAATTCCCACTGAATCTTCAGGAAATCAAATATTACTGTTTATCGTTGAATTATCGAATAGTTTCAAATATTTGAATTTTTGTTTTTACTTGTGTTCCTCTTTCTTCTTCTCAAATGTCGAAGATTTTAATTACTTTTTAATTACTTTTTAATGAGGAAACTATAAAAAAGTGACGCAAACGATGATATTACTATTTATTTCGATTTATTATCGAGAACGAATTGATAAGAATAAAATACGTTGCTATTTTCAATATCTCTGTTATAATTAAAATCAATGAAAATATTTAATTTCAAGTTGAAATTTATCATGATTAGATTGATGCCCATTGATGAATAATAGAGAGATACTTGGAAAGTATCTCGAGCGTTATATTAAAAAAATCTATGTTGTACGAAAGATAAACTATTGCATTATCCATAAGAGAGAAAAAGAAAAATAATAGAATAAGATATTTTTTTTTGTTTGATTATAAAATGTCTATTATAGTTCTACGAAAAAATGCAGTTTGCTCGTTTTGTCTTATCTTATCGAGCGTGTGTCTACATGCACCACGTTGCATTCTATCTTTGACAATAATAATATCATGTGGGTACACACAGACATAATCGTGTCAGACTGAATTCCTCTTCGATAACCTGCATCATTTTCTTACGAATGGTACGACAATCGCCATCTGGGACATTTCAGTCGTATTTCAAGGCCGTAAGATAAGTCGCTCTTGAAATGAAGTTTATCTTGGAAACCTTTGTTATCGTAGCGTTTCTTTTCGATTCTAATAAAACATATATTACAAATGTGTAATAATACATACATGCGCGCACGCATACGTATGTATTTTGGTTGTCCTAAAATGAGCAAGACTTTTTTGGGAGATAAGGACCCCAATCCCGAAAATATTTTCTAATTATTATCTGGGACATATACTGTAAATATATTGTTTTTCTACGAACATTTGATTTTGAAACGTACACGCGCGTAAAAACCTGATGAAACTTCCATTGATTTCTTTACGTAATGCGGAAATAGGAATACTACGTCTGGTTGTTCGGCTTTTATACAACCGGCAGCCTTCGTACCGTTTAAGTAATGTCAAGGTCTACGAACGAAATTAACGTCTTCGCGATAAAATGTTATATGTAATCCGAATCCTCTATCAAGGAGATTCGAGATTCGAGAGAGAAAGAGAAGAGAAACTATGAATGATCATTTAGAAAATGTAATCTATTAAGTTTTCAAGTTAACAATCATTTTTTATCTAAAATACTACGATAATTAATAAATCGTACTTCTTCGACATTACTTCCTTGTATTTTTAAACGTGACTCACTTGAAAGATAAAATTGTTAAAAATGTCTTATTGCGTCGTCTCTTATATTTCGTTATTCAATAAATCTATCGTTTTAAGTAGTAATAGTCGTTTTTGGTTGGCCTATTTGACAAGAAAAATAAAAAGGAAAAACAAAATAAGAATCATATTCAATATAATTGGATCGTTTGTTACGAAAACGTTGTAAATTTATTTCTATAATAAATGATTCATATACGAATTGATTGCTGTAAAAAAAAAGTCGTTGATTGCAACCTGCGTTCACACACAATAATTACTATTTTTATATTAATAATTGAATTTAAAAATAAATTTCTTTCCCCTTTTTTGTTACGTTGTTTGTATGTTCAAAGAACAAAGAAATAAAATAAAATAAAATAAATAAATTATAAGTCCTTTTACTTTTTCATTTCTTTTTCGGTATACAAAGTAACAGAGCGCTTTTATTTAGCGATGGTTGAGATGGTAAAAGATTGGAGAGAGCACTGGAAGAGAGCCAATCAGAGAGCACAAAACGGAAGCGCGCGTTTACGCGCTTCGTCGCCGCCACACTTATACCTTTTTATTTACATATATATGCATATGCACATATATATATATATATATATACACATGTAAATACATACACCTAGATAGTTTTACGCAGTTTGAATATCTCAATGAAACAACATTTAGAACTCGTATTTTCGAGCGAAATCAAAGTTTGTTTACAGTGTTGTTCATCCATTAGTATTGAAATGTTCAAATGCGAACTATACTATATTGAAATTATCTTATTTAAATAAATAATTCAAAATAAAATAATAATTAAATACGAATGTGAATCTAATGAGATTCATTTCGAGCGTGTTTTCGAATTAAAATTCGATTATTATCGATTGAGCTACACGTAAATAGATTTAAAATCGAATATTTTCAATCATTTTTGTGGAAACCTAATGAATGAATCGAATAATTGTAATAAATTTTGAGAAAAATATATAAAATGACTTACAATCTACTGCTAGGTTCGTTGCTGGCCTCGTCACCTTCGATCCGATAAACCTTTCCCGACATCACGTATTCAAAACTGTCCGCTCTAGAACCACCTTCTTGATCCGTTGCATTCCATTCTCCGCCATCGGGATAACCATCTTCTCTAAGTGTCGTTGCTAACACTAATCGGAATTTGTCACCTAAAAAATTACAAATAAAATAGACGTTAGATAAACTAATTCGTCGAAAGGAAAAGATAATCATGAAAATTAAGGGACTTATCTCTGTTTTCTTACGTTACATTATCCAATCAAATGAAATATTTTGTAGAAAAATAAAAAGAGTACGTTGAAGTTTTTTAATAATTTCATATAGTTTTATTCACCATTCTTTTTTTCTGTGAATTTCTTTCGATTATTTCACGAGTTATTTTCAAAATATGTCCGGCGTTCTTCGAATAGAATTGTATTCAAAAACTTATCTTATTTTGACGTTAAATAATAGAGGAAAATTTCAAATAGAACGATGTCGGAACGATATTAGTCGCGTAATTCGAAAATGTTGAACGTTGACGGTGACGATGACGATGATGACAACCACGAACGAACGAACGAACGAACGTACGAACGAATGTACGAACGAACGAACGAACGGTGTTGCGATATTGCCGATTACATAAGCGATCAGTAAATTACTCCCGCAAAGTGAAGTCGAACCTAGCTCGAGTTTATTCGAGTCGACCTACAACGAAAACGAACGAAAACGACCGAAACCAAAATCGAAACTTTGATATGAGATACGTGTATGTGATTAGTCATGCCTTGTTTGTGAACCGACTCGACTACGTCGAATGAGAAAGATTTACAAAACCAATTCTCAATACGAGATCTATTTCATTTTATTTCATTGAATTGTTAACAAGCAATATAAAAAAAAAAAAACAACAACTCTAATAATGACGATAACGATTATGATGATGATGATTACGAAAAAGAAAAATTGCATTACGAAAATTCGCACGTTAATAAAAATATCAGATCAATCTTTAAGACTTCACGAACAAAACGTTTCTAAACGTATAAGTAAATTAACGCTTGAGAGAGAGAGAGAGAGAGAAATATTTGAAGAACAATAAGCCATTATGATCTCAACTGCGTGCTCGGACGGTTAAAATATGCGAAACGTGAAGAAGAAGGCAACAAGGTAAGGAGATACACACATATAAAGAAGAAGAAGAAGAAGAATCCTTAACGCAAAAGATACGACCTAGAGGGGAAGGGAGGAGTTACGACGAGCGAAAAGGACGAGAGAAATCGGGTGAAGGACGAGAAGAGGAGGGTGAAGAGAGAGAGACTGACGGTGAATCTGAAAGGGAAAAGGGACTCGAATTGTGAAAGGAGGTTAGGGTGTATATACGCTTGCTGTTGGGAGAAAGAGAGAGAAAGGGAAAGAGAAAGAGAGAGGGAAAAATAATGCATAGAAATGAGTAGCATGGTTGGTTGTTAAATGCGAAGATACAAAGAATATATTTTTCGATGAATCTTCTGATAAAAAGGAAACGTATGTTCGTTGTCCTGATCGTTAACGAGAGAGAGAGAGAGAGAGAAACAGAGAGAGAGAGATTCTAACACGTAAGAGAGAAGTTAGACTGCAAGTACAAGGTCAGGGTTAATTCTGTGAACGTATATTCATGAAAATGCTATAGTATCGCGCCGATCGATACCACCGAACACAAGTACGAGTAGGAGGAGAAGAGGAGGATGAGGGAGAGAGAAGGAAGATGAGGGGTAGAGGAGGAGAAAGAGGAGGAACAAGAGGGAGAGGAATTGAAGAGGGGAACGGAAGACGCAGAAGAGAGAGAAAGAGACAGAGAGAGAGAGAGAGAGAAAGAGAGAGAAAGAGAAAGAGAAAAAGAAAAAGACAACGATGTCGGAAAATCTGCGTAATCAATTGATCCTATCGCAAATTGTACTTTTAACTATACGGACAGACATATTTCGTTCGACCTTGCGTTGCAATTCCATGAGAATGATCTTGATTTATTTCGAAAGTAAGACGAATTATTGAATGTACCCTTCTATTCCCTACTACCAACCCCTATTATCCCCATTTAATTCTCTCTATCGGATTAACTAGGAAGTTGTCCCATTCTGAAAGTCATAATCGTGTATCCGTTCAAACGAATAATAGTCTTATTTAAAATCCAATTAAATCAATAGATTATTGTTTGTGTTATTAAATATTATATATATATATATATATATACAGAAAAGGAAATATAGGATAAATAGAGAAAAATATGATACCGTAAGACAGAATCCTAGGAAGAATCGTGCCGATCGAAGATGATGAAAAGAAGACTACGAAGAAGAGGATACGTTAGAGAAAAGACGACGCACAAACGATGACCGCCGGCGCTCTTCTCCGGGCTACCCAAAAACCGCCATCTTGCTTCTTGACGTCAAAGTGCGCCATAGCTCGGTGCAGCGGAAGGGGAGAGAGCTATCGTTCCGCCGACGATTCGCATGATCGTTGATCATCGATCGCAAAGGAGAGAAGACGCAGCAGCATTTCCTTGCGTATAATCGTCATACAGTTTTCTAATTCTCCGAATAGGTCAGCCGGCAGCAAGTATAACAACAGCAACACGAGCAATACATATATGAATATTTACGTATCGTTCTCCCTCGACAATTTCCTCTTCCTTCTTCCGGCTAATAGCGGAAAGAACGAATCCAAATACGATAGTGGTATAGCAATAATAGCAGTTATCTGTGTTGGTAGTAGTACGCACACCTGTCGCGACCTTGCTCCTTGATGGCGAGATTCGCAACGGTGATTAACGGACGAGGTGCTGCTACTGTTCGATCCTCGCAAGACAGTACACAGCTTCTCTCTTGTTCACCCTTTGCTCTCCTCCTACTAACCCCCTCGCCGACCACCACCCCCTTCCTGCCCGCCTCCCTCGTCGACGCCCACGCGGCGTCATTTCTCCTCATCCTTCTTGTTGTCGTCGTTGACGTTGCGAGAAGGAGAACACGCTCGAAATTTCCGCCACTGACGTCACTCGAATCAAACAAGATGTCCGCCGCGGTTGCTTCGTCGCCGATAATCACCGTTTTCGTGGAAGAGAGAAAGGGAGAGAAAGGGAGAGAGGAAGAGAGAAATAAATAAAACAAGCAAGATAGATATAGCGAGAGAAATAACAATAAAGATAAAAAGTAAATAAAAGTGGGAAAGATAAAGAAAGATAAAATGAAAAAAAGAAAAAATAAGGGAAGATAAAGATAAAGAAGTAGAAGAAGAAGAAGAAAAAGAAGTAGAAAGATGATGAGAATACGTATCGCAATAAGAGCGGAAGAATCCACACCACAAGCGTAGTCGACTTCTACTGTATCACAAAGCGAGTTAGCGGAGAGCACGGCACGCGCGACCGACACGGCTCAGAGTCTAAGCCGCTTTGACCTTGGCATTGAACTTGAGGGAGCTACCAGGTGAGGCGGGAGCGCTGCTTGCGCCGCCGCTACCACTGCTAACGTCGGAGTGGGGAGAGCCACGATTCGCCGGGGCGAGCCAATTTCCAAGAGTGGGGGCAACTCGGAGACGTTCGCGAACGCTCGCCAGGGTTAGGAGGGGGAGATATTGCGTCATCTCGCGCAAGCCTCGACGCCGCGCGTCAATACAGCGGCCTGCTGCCTGCCTGGCCCCACGCGCTATAACCTTGCCACCCCTCTTATAAGCGTGCTCGCGCGCGCTATCCCCACCACTTTTATCTTTCCCCTCCTCTTCCAGCATTTCTTTCTCCTCTCTCTGTTATTTCGATCGCCTTTCTATCTTCTATAATTTATTATAGTTTTCTTTTTCATTGCAGATCTTACAATTAGAATGCACGATAAGTTCATTTATCATTAAATTTCTTTTCTGTTATTGCATTTCTTTATTCGCGTTTTTTTTTTCTTTTTAATTTCATTAATAAATTCTTTGGTACTCATCCATCTTTTATTAATGGTTTATATATCTTGCTGTAGATGATAATGAATATAGAATGTTATGTTTATTCGTTTTTCTAATATTCCATTGTAGAATAATGAGAATGCAGACCGATGGTCGTTGCAGTAGTAGACAAAACTCGAGGGAAGGTATATATATATATATACTATGGCTACTGCTGATGTTGCTGCTGCTGCGTTTCTCTCTGTTGCTAGTACTCTCTCTCTCTCTCTCTCTCTTTCTCTCTCTTTCTCTTTCGATAATGGTGGGGAATGAAGCGAGGGGAAACCGCGAACGCATAAAGGAGAAAAAGAGGGTGGGAGAGAAGGGTGTAGATACGTGTGAGTGCTCACAGAAGGGGAATATGAATCTGTAAACATGCGGGAGGATCGACGGTGATACTGGCCAACCCCACCCTTCCGTGGCCTTCGTTACTTGTAGGTGTGACGCGCTCGCGCGCGCACTATTCCCACCTCCTCTTACTAACGAATACGGGATAGATCCAGGATCGCGTTCATGGAGCCACGTCGTACTCGAAAACGACCCTGTGCCGACCGTTTCGATAGGCGGGAAGGACACGGACTCTCGCTGCTGCTATTGCTGTTGCTGTTGCTGCGGCTGCAACATGACGTGGCCTTGGGCGCAACTTGCGAGTCCAAGTGGGTTATGCGAATTGTACTCCTCTTCTTCTCTCTCTTTCTATCATTTACTCTCCATTTCTTTATACGATTATCTTTCTCTTTATTCTTCCTCAAGGAATTACGTTACGGTCTTCTAATATCAAATTTTTAAAAAATGTTTAATTTACTTTTTTGGTAATCCTTTGAAAAAATATATATACATATATAAATGAAAGAGAATAATTAATGCCCAAAGAGAAGCAACGGTTCCTTCAGTCAAATACCAAGATGAAAGCAAACAAAATGCAACATAGTTCGAGATGCAGTAGCTGTTCTTGGCATATGTTCGTTTTGGCATTCATCGTTGAAACGGACATGACGCTCTCTTCTGTCTCTCTTCCGCAAAATAGAAATTCGACAGGGAAAATAGAAATTCGTAGCGGAATCGCACGTGCCACCTAAACCGAAATGTAACACAGGAAATAAACCCTCGCAATTCTTACTCCTTCTCGTAAATCTTGTTCTATTCTTGATTGTTAATGGAACATAAGTTTCTTATTTATAAACATTTGTATATATATATATATCAAGCAAACTCCATCAAATTCGATTTTTTTGGATAGACAAAATCGATCAGATACTTTTATCTTTTCTATCTCTTTCTTCCTCTCTGATTTTTGGAATATTTTCTAAATATTTGACATTTCTTTCTCGTTTAAACATGGACTACTGCATAATATTTATTTATCCTCTTATTCTTTCACTAGCCATTCCACACATATTTGATTTACTATAATGTAAAAACGAAAATATGAAGAA